ACCTTTTTCTTTTGAATTTAAATGAACCATAAAGCTTTTGGAAGCAATTGGTAACATTAGCAATGTATTTGGCTCAGGAAATGATGATAAATGTATAATACACTGGCAGTTGACGATTGCAAAGGAGGCGATAGTCTTGAAAATGAAGAATTTAATGATAGATTATTGAAAGTTTACAGCGACTGACCAACTGAAAGTAGTCGTCAAGGATGTCTTCTTACAACAATACGAAAAGTTTTCGACGAATTCATCCTTCGTCATCTTCCCGTTCTTCGTCATTTTAAGCAATTTAGAAATTTGATAAAGTTCGATGTGTTCATAAACTGACCAATAATCAAAAGAAAAATTAACTTCTTCAGCGTCGTTTTTTTTCATTTTACGCAGCAACAACGGATAGTTTTTCGATCAGGCTGTGACATGGGCGAAAAGTGGTTTATATACGACAATCAGAGATGTTATTGATGGAACAAGGAATGTTTTAAAGTATTTCCTAAGACTAAATTTGCAATTAAAAAAATTCGCGATCAATGTTTGGCAGTGTGTTACCGGTCTGATTTACTTAAAGGTTCTAAATTGCAGTCGAAATAATTGCACCTGAAAAAATGTGCAATATATCGATTGAAAACTGTAATGCTTTTAATCGGCATTGAACAATAACAAACGAATCAATTCTTTTCCACTACATGCCCGATCACGCATTGGAGACGTCTCAAAAATTGAACGAATTAACCCACGAAATTTTAACTCATCCGTCATTCATTTGTTCTCTTCTACAATTGACTAATATTTCTTTAATCATTTTGATAATCTTTTCCAAAAGAAATATTTTTAAATCAATGATATGCGAAAGTTACCTTTCAAGAGTTCATCAAATCTTAACATATAAGCTTTCATATTGCAGTAGTCAACAAACTTCTTTCTCATTAACAAAAACAAGTTAGATCGCCAGAGTTTCTATTTTAACTAATAAGGATCTATTTAAATAATTTAAAATTCTTGGCACAAAAGTGTATTCATCTTCGTTAACAATACATCAATTTGACAATGAAATTATTTTTTAACATCTGAGATTAAAAGAAGATTATGTGTGTTCGACACATTGAATGATAATCGTTTTTTTTTTTTGTTTTGCATCATTTCTTTTCTTTCTTTTACAAATCTGACATTGTTATTTAGAGAAAAAGAAATTGTGAATGAATTTAAATATTTGAAAATTTACATCTTTTAAAGATTCTATTTTTGTTATATGTGTCTTTTGTAATAGCTAAGAATAATTATAAATACACTTTTTTTCATAACATACAATCGCAATATTGCTAGGAGCAATAAATAGCACACATATATCATAAAACCAATTAACCTTTATAGATTAATGACTAGCACTTCCTCTGATAATAAATGCATTCCGAATTACTGCAAATTGTTACGGAAAACTGAATTAGAACCGTGTTTCTGGATAAATGAATATGTTCATACTGGTTATCGACCACCATACCTATCTGCAATGCAATATGTGAAATGGTTAGTAATAATTAAATTAGTTTATGTACAATTATGATCAATTGATTATGATGAATTTTGATTATTTTATCGCATTACAATTATCCAAGATCGTTGAGATTTTTTGCTTTTGTAATAGCTAAGAATAATTGTAAATACATTTTTTTTTCATGATAATAAAAAAAAAGCTTTTCTTATCATGAAAATATATATTATAATTAGATGATTTCATAAATTAAATTTTGATTGACAATATGATAGTATTTATTTATATGCGTAGGAAGTGAAATTATTCATTATAACATTGTAAAAATAAAAAAGGGTTATAATCAACTTTTATAATTTGAATCATATTGTTGCTCAATTTTTAAATCATTATCATCAATCTCCATTGCCGATTAAAAATCAACCAATAATTATTGCTATTCAATTTTTAATCAATTTACTTACGCAAACAACAATAATTTATCGTGAAAGAAGAAGCGATGATAAAATTTACAAATTTCAAATTATTTGTTAATTTAAAATTTTTAGGATATTTCGGTGGAATAATGAAACAATTAATATATGGTCTCATCTAATCGGTTTCTTCTATTTCACTTGGCGTCAATATGTAATAAATGCTTGCTTCCTACCTTCAGTAAATGCTAATGCAAAAGATCATATCGTTGCTACAGTATGTTTGCTTGGTTTACAGGTAACTCTTCGATTCGAATTACTTTTGTTACCTCATTACTTCATTAGCTTAGTAGATAAGGAATAGTTAGAGAGAAAAAAAAATTATTTATAATAGAGTGAATGGGAGTGAAATGTTTAACAAGATAAATTATCGGATGATGCTGATGATAAATAATAAATCGTTTTTTTTTTCATCTCAGTTTGTAAAGTGAAGCCATATTTAATTAATGAGTTCACAATCATATCAATTAAAATACATTGCTAGTTGATGAAAAAAAACAAACATCCGTACTTTTTAAACTTTATTTTCAGTCAATTAAAATGTATCTATATTTTAGTAAAAATGATATTTATTAAATTGGGAAAAAAATTAAAGCGAAAGTGATTGCAAACCTGTAAAAGGATATTTTAAATTATATGTATGCCAACAAATAGAATATTTTTAACAACTGTAGTAAAAAAAATTAAGCAAAAGGATAAAAAAATGAAAGTTTACTTATAATCTGTTGTCGCTGAAAAAAAAATAACATATATGGAAAATAATATGATATTCTAAATTAATTAGATCTGAATGAGTGTATCTAATTAATTAGACACACTCATTCAGATCTTCATTAGTTTCTACTTCAATTTCTAAACTAACAATCTAAATAATTTTTAAGCTTTACACATACTTTGCTTTCATTCATCTTAAATAAGTAACATTAGCAAAATTTATTGAATTATTCAGATGTGTATGCTTTTATCATCACTTTATCATACCTTCGGTTCAACAAGTGCTGAACGAAGACTTATATTATTACGGTTTGATATCTTTGGTATATCAGCTGGATTACTTAGTATTTATTTGCTGGGCATTTATACTGCATTTCTATGTTTTGAGGTTTGTTTCGTTCAAAATTTTGTCTTAGAATAATTAAATTTTCATGCAATATTCGAATCAATTATAGAAGGTTAAAAAAATTAAGATGTTTATAATTGATTTGATCATTGATGTCAGTGTCTTTTCTACTTGTATGTGATAAATGTCAGTAGATAAATTTATTTTTTCTAAGATAATTTGATGCTTATTAAATTGCACAAATATGCTTATTTGGTTGGAATAATCACTGAAGTTTTATGGTAACTAAGAAAAAACTTACAAGAGAATTTCATAGCTGTCTAAAATTTTAATCCTAAAAATTTCCAGAAGCAAACATATATCATTTACTTTCATGATAATTTCAAGAAAAAACAAAATTAAAGTGTGTAAAAAATTTTTTTATATAGATTTCTTTTCTTGAAAATTTATTGCTTCCTAGATTTCTAATTAGTGTTAAAAAATCATTCTTAATAATTTTAAAATGAAAAATTTTCAGGAAAAGAAATCTATAAAATTAATTTTTTTTTTTTTGATTCAAAAGATATTTTACAACAAAGTAACGTAAAAGTTTATGTGAATATGAACATCTATCTATGTGTTAGGATAAATGTGCCATATATTACGAAATAATTTCATGTATATAAATTATATCCATATTTGTGTAATTTTACACATGCATTACTATTTCATCACATTTTATCATTGTGAAATACTTGAATTGATTTTAAATTAGAGTAATAATTTTAACAATGATTGAATGATAAACTGGTTTGATTAGCAATATCACTGAGCTGGTTTTTCAATACTTAACGTAGGAGCATGCATTTTACAATTTTAAGAAACAAGCTTATCAAATGTATTGGCGGTTAATATCAAAAATCATTTATAAGAAGGATTTTCAAATTACGTAATAAAATAATTAACAAAAAAAAAGTGATGAACAAATATTTATTGGGACAAATGCGCAATCTATTTGTCTAAAATAGTAACATTTAGAACAACTAGAATTTTCCGATCTCTTAACGTTTGATGTTATTTGATGATAGAGTGATACAATCAATGTATTGTATGAAATCGTTAAAATTATTTTTTCATAACAATAGATTGTTTGTAGTAATTTTAATTTAAACATTTTTCTTTTCTTTTAATTATTTGAAGGAATGGCAAAATCATTACTTTGCTTTTTTATTTGGAATATCACTGATAGCAGTATATTTGCCATTAAGTAATGATATCAGTGAAACGCCACTGTTCGCTTCTCAATTCAGTTGTACTAATTTAACGTATTTGATTATTGCAACATTAAGTTTCGGACCGACATTTCATTGGATTGCTCTACATGGTGGCATTAGCAATAAGCATGTCACAGTAAGTTTCAATCATTTAAAGTATGTTGGCTAGAATTTTTCTTGTTTCTATAGTAATTAGACAAAATCAGTTTTCGATGAAATGATAAAGAGTTAATTTTTTGTTAACTTCATAAGATTACGCTGTTTATTATATATTTAAGAAACAGATTGATAACATTAATTATTGTTCCAATAAACATTTTTTCTTAAATGAAAAAAAAGATTACGAAAATATATTTATCAAATAAATTACTTCTTAGGAATGGTTACCAAAACTTTTTGTTTTATACGGAACATCGGGATGCGGATTTTTGTTTTATATTTTGATGATTCCAGAAAGACTGAAACCTGGTAATTTCTTTTCTTTTATTGCAAAATATTACTAACAATTTGATAGCAGATAAGTTATCATGTTTAATAGCTGAGTTTATTAATATGTTTCAAGGAAGTTCTGTGTTTGTATATTCGATGTACAATCAGAAGATCACTGTAAAACGGTTGGTAAATAAATGATAGGATATGATCGAAGTGAATTTAAATCAAAATGCTATAACTTTGCTAATACATACTTCTATTCATTACCACTTTTATTGAATCAAATTTTCAGGTATCTTTGATTTGGTAGGATGTAGTCATCAATGGTGGCATTTACTGGTCTTTGCAGCAATGTGGTATTGGCAAAATGAATCACTTGATTATTTAGCATCTTATCGCTCACAGGAAAACTATTGCTTAATTTATAATCGATTATCAAATACTACTTCTGCAAATTAATTTTCGCATAACATTGATCGTTTGAACAATTTATTGATAAGAAACTTCTATTTAGATTAATTACTGTTTTTATGTGAATAACATTTATCTTAAAATGTGATAGGAATTGATCAATGGATCGATTAAATAAATTACTAGTTGTGACGACAAATTATAGATTCATAGTGATACTAGGTTAATTTTTTTTTGCATAAATTAAAGCAAATAATAGTGATTCAGATCTTTAATTTAAAATTTACATCGATGTTTGAAATATTTTCCCTCTATGTATTATTTAAATTTAATCCATTCCATTAAATTTTCTAATAAGTAAAATAAGTACCAATGTCCATTTTTGCAATATTTCAGCAAAATCATCCCAATTTGATAAAAATTCTTAATATGCAACTATTTACTTTTGCTTCCTCTTCATCTTTTCTATATCCATCATTCTTTCATACGTGTGTTCATATTCTATAATAATTAATGAAATTTTCAGAATAGAAAAGTTGATTCTGATAATTAATAGATACATTTTGTTTGAATTGAATTTTTATTACAATTCCTGATAGTGTAATCATTTTATTGCAAATTTACAACTTTTTTTTTTGTAGTATAACAAAAATTGATGTGTTGCATTTTTTTTTTCAGTGGAATACTTTATATATTGATTGCGGAAAAGAGGAATAAAATAAGAAGTGACACATGAAGTACTCGATTCCATTTTTCCTATAAATAATCAGATAAGATAAGGCCATAAATTCGAACATTCTGCCACTCATTTTTCTCTTCTTTTCTAAATGTTTATTTTGCTTTCAAATGAAATGAATTTTGAAATAGCCTTTTTTTTATAATGTGAAATTTTAGCTTTTGAAACAATGCATAATTGACAATTGGCATGAAAAGAAAATATGGAAGAATCAACTGCAAGAAAAAGTTTTCCAGAATGACAAAATTGTAATAATACGAAGACTGAGCATATTGTGTGCTAATTAAACTCTTATAAATTAATTAAAATATAAATTGTTATAAATTCAAGATGATTATTGTCATTGCTTTACTGATAATTGAAATAGTTGTTTAAAGCAAAGCATTATCGAAACTTACGAAAAGATTACAGTTCCAAAGGTTGAATTATTAAAATGATACAGTACAGGGATTATAATCGATTAAGATTTGATAATAATGATCGTGCTTCCGGAATTTTACCCAATGTTTCAAGCAATGTTTTTGCTTTCAGTGCTGTTTCATCGTTTCCCACCGCGATGTTATTCAAACGTTTAATCAATTCTTGCCTACCCTAAAATAACAAGGAAACTAAATTATTTGATGATTTTTGAACATAATATTATCTATTCGAATTTAATGAATTCAATTTGCATAGGAAAGTTCTAGACATAATAAATTTTGCAAAATTCATATAAAAAATATGATTGAAATATTAAATTACATCCTGTAATTTTTAAAAATTATAATTGCTTATGGCTAAAACAAAAAAAAAGAAGAAAAAATTAGTTAACAATTAGATATTTTTACCTTTGGTGCATAAATGGAGAAATAAATGGTATAGTTTGGATTAGCAAAAGGATCCTGATTTAGCGGTGCAATAACTTCATAAGTTAGAGATAATGCATGCACTGCTGATGACATGCATAGCAACCATGTAACTGCACGCAACAGAACTTCCGGTTTATCCGTATCCAAAATTGATAATAAGCCTGTCACTGTCTGCAACATTGAAAGCAAAGATAAAGCATTGATTAGAAAGAATAAATGATGCAAATCATCCGATTGATATATTGAATTAAATAAAATCATCTTACGATTGCTATCGGGCAATCTTTTTCGTGATGACATCCGATTAATGTTACCGTCGATAAATGCGATCATCTAAATTGGACGACATTTTTTTTTTTCTATCTAAATGACATAGAAGAACTACCTTAGCAGCTAAAATATGCGGGACCATATCCGGACAACAAGACAGATTTACCAACAAACGAAGTGAATTAATGTTTGCTTCACCTTTTTCCCAAAGCCTGTAAAAAAAAAAAAAAAAAAAAAACAAACTCGATGTCATATAGCTTTAGATAAAATTAAGTTTATTTAAGTGGTTACAATTTTTATACTTAAAAAAAAAAACAAATCAAAAACAAATTTAATTTAACTACGCTTTAATTAATCGATATTTTGAAATTTCATATCATATTAAAGAATTTTTTTTCTTTTTTTAGAAAAATTTAAGGACAATAAAATAGAAATGATAAAATCGTGCCTTTTCAGGCAAACAGGTATAGCTGGTAAAATGCTCTCAACTTGTGATCGTGTAATTGTATAGGACAAATTAGTGAGCGCTTGAAATGCAACCGTTCGTTCCATATCCAATGATGAATTTAAACGTTTCACAACAAGCGGAATTGTTTGCTGTAGAATTTCAGTATTTTCTCTGCATGCAGCCATGTTTGCAATGCATTGTAATAGCATAATCTGAATTTACCATGATTAACAAATAATTTCGTTTTTTTTTTTTTAACAACATTTTTTATTCAATGAATGAATTTAAAGTTGAAAAAGTTTATTTAACAAATTGCGAAAAGATGAAACAAAGGAAATTAAGTATTGAACCTTAGAGGAATTTGGTAAAGCTGCATGATGCTCTTTCATCATTGATGCCACTTTTTCGGTTATACCAAATTGGGCAAATAAATACTGTAAAATTTAGATGATAAAATAAATTAATTAATGATGATATTTTTTTTAGATAAAATCATATCTCGTATATCAATCATTCAAGTAATTTCATTATTTGATTGAAAAATTTTTAAAAATTTTGAACAGAATTTTAATTGTTTATTATATAATTAAATTAATAATTGACCTGATTTGCAGTATAGGCAGTAGCATTTGAAATGACAGTCAATAGAGGCAAAAGAATATCGGAGGAAATATCGATGCATTTTAATGCAGTACACAAATATTTTGCTTCTGATGGTGTGATCAATTTCTAAAAGAAATGATAATTTTAATAATAAAACTAAAAATAAGCAAATCTTTCAATTAATATTATTATTTCCTCCCTAAATAGAGCAAAACTAAACCTGTGTTCGATAAAGCTTGTTAATTAATGACTTCAATTCATCGCTTGTTGAAAAGAAATTTGCTGATGGATTAACCGTAATACGCCATTGTGAGGAATTACATTCATCTTCATCCGGATCTGTTTGTGGCAAACTCTGCAAAAATTTTTGAAATTGAAATGTTCGAAATAAACTTAAGGTAATTATAAAAGAAAAAAGAAAAACTGCAGCTTGTTTCTGCTCATTTTGTCTGATTACCTTTTTTATTCAAAAAAGGCAAAATTATGAAAATTAAACCATTTTTATCTTTGTATATCTGTATTCGTTTTTTATGAAATATCTATTTGATTTCGAATATTGTGATAAAATTATCCTATGCTGAAAAACTTTCAGGAATTTCTGTTCTTTCTTTCTTTTTTTCTACATTTGATCATGAAATTAATTTTCTCAGTTTATAGATAAGAGAAATGAATTAACAGGTTGGTCAACTAATTAATTAACTTGAGCTATTTGTGTTAACATCTTATAAATCGTATTTTCCATACCTATAATTGTCATACTTTTTGCTTTTCTTCTTTTTTTTCTCACGGTTTCTTCTTACACAAATGCTATCGAAGAAAAAAAATTGTTTTAAATTTCAAATTTTATAATGGAAAATGTTTTTTTTTGCATCACAAATCACATTTCAATTTTTTTTATGCATTTCATTCAATTTGATAAATAAATTCTTTGATAAAAAAAAGAGAAAACCAGCCGTGAAATTAAATATTTAGAAAAAATTCAATGAATACCTTAATTAAGATTCAAAAATCCTTTTGATGCTTAATTACCACATTTTCTTTTTCTCATTTATTACACTTTCGAAGTTGTGGTAAATTAATGCATACAAATTTAACACAAGCATTTTCTCATTCCATGATATTACACTTTAAAATGTTTCATACACATCAAGAAAGAAAACAATAATAATATCGAGATTTTGTGTAGGAAATACGGTGACACCTTTTCCTCTGGTAAATTTATGCAATGAATTTGATTCATATACAAAAACACAAATAAGGTAAGCTTTCTTAGTTATACAAACGATACAGGTTAACCTGAATTTAATGTTTCTTTATTTGAATAAAAAAAGAAGAAATTAAGAATAAAACCTGAAAACTTCCAAGTCGGGATGAAGCAATTTCAACAACGAAGGCGGATTGCTGCTGCCCCATTTAGCAAAACAACTCTATTGATTCCCATCAAAAAGTGATGAGATGATGGTGAATGAGATGCATTTATAGGTTTTCAATTCCGATTCTTGCTAGACTCCCACTAGACT